AATTATATAACAATAACCAATAAAACGAATCAGAACAATTTCACAGAAATATTTCCAGTGATTTACAAAAATACCGTGTTATTGAATGATGTACCATAGTATTAAAAGATGTAAAATGGTATTGTTCCGAAAAGACGTAGGCTATACAGTATGCTAGCGTTTTAATTTGGTTAATGCCTTAACCGGTAGTACAGAGTCGTTTACAAGCTTCGCATGAAGGTGTTGAACTTAACCTTAATTTTTATTTCAAACGATTGGATGCATTTCAGGTTTGGTTTCAATGTATTGTATAAAAAATCACCATTTTGTATTCTGTATATGTGTAATCGAAAAACCCCTACAAACGATTCCGTATGTTAGTGAGACGTCCGAATGATTCAGACAGAACCGATTCAGATCGTTTTGCGAACCGTTCAAAGAACCGATTCAATACAGTGATACACTCGTGAATAGGTTAGTTGCGATTCTGAACGACCAGAAATAAACACTAATTCGTTTCTGAATTATCTGAGAAAATTATTCTCGTGTCGAACTTAATCAGTTATTAATAAGTTGCTATGTAACTAAACGAAGCTGTTTGCTAAATCGGGACTAACCAAAGATGGCGTCCTAGGCGGTTGCCAGTATTTTTTTTAGGCTATTACATGATACTTAACAATAGAGGACCTACAATAATGTACAGTATTTGAAAAATAATGTGTTTTTTGAACATTAAAGCATGTCAACATATTCTGTTACACCAAATACACAAAATAATGATCTTTAAGAAAGCATCATATGACCCCTTTAAATTTTTAATTTTTTTTTGTATGGTTAGGTTTTTGTTTGCAGCAAAACTGCACATACAATTTATACAGTACAAATGATCCCATATAAATCATATACTGACAAAAAAAATAGTACAGAGACATCTATCAAAATCTAGACTTTTTGTTTTTTTTGGACATAGCAATACCATGGTGTTTTGGATATGTTGTATTCACTGGAAGAGCTGTGTTGAGTAAAGGCATTGAAGAGGCTTGTTGTTAGACCAGTGAACAGAGGTTAGATGTTGAATATTTGGGCTTTTGATGTCTAACATTATGTGAAACGTGTCCAAACTTCCCATAGTTAATAATTCACTAGGCAAATGTAACAGATTACAACATGAACGGCTTAACAATTCAAAGATTAAATGTGTGAATACAAGTGATAGAGTAACAAAAATCCACCTGTAGGTGTGAAAAGTTTGCTAGTGTTGTTTTTTGCAGACGTCATTCTGCTGTGATTGTGGCACGGGTGGGTTTACCGTCAGAACACAACCTGTGCCCTTTTCACCGGTGTCCATAAAACAATTATGGATGATTTCACAGACTAATTTGGTTAAAGTTTGATGGCCATTATAGTTGGACATTGAGAGCCAGAGGTTTATAGCATTGGCTCAGTCAGCCTGTGGAAAGGAGGCTCATTCTATGGGAGACACTACAAGAGGCCTGTGAAGTCTACAGGTAGGTGAAACTCCATATACTCAAACCTCAATGTGAATTAAACTCATCAGTTATGAAATTAACGGAATCATTCCAAGAGTTTTGATTATTTTCACACAGAAAGCAAAAAGAAAAATATAAGGCGGCAGAAATATTGTGCAGCATCCTTCCCGTTGTTGCATCTTTTAAATTGGAAGGAACACACACTGAACTCTGAGTATCATAATTTGTGCTCTTTTGTTGCGATTTGTAAGAAAAAATACAATCCTTCGTTCTTTTCTGTGCGTTTGAGAAAATTCTAGTCTCTTGTGTGGTGGGTTTAATTTTGTTGGCTGCAGGCACTGCAGGTTTCTCTGAGATGTGCTGCAGTTCGTTCCCACACACAGCACAGTCTGACAGGATTTAATGTGGACAGTAGCAGGGCTTTGAAACTAAGAAAAGGCGCTTTACTGAGGAGGATTTCACTTCATACAAGCCTTTTTTTATTCAAGTTTTCAAATTATAAATGCATGAAATCTTGCTGCCTTTGGCCGGGATACATGAAGCTACATTAAGCAACATAAAATGTAGAATATGAAAGAGCCAGGATGCATATTGTAATCTTTATAGTGCTCATTTTATGGTCAAATAATACAGAATCAGGAGTTGATTTACACTGGGAACCAATAAGCATGTGTATAATGATCAAATGAGCAATTCATTACAAGCATTTTTAATAGCAAAACTAGAGTAGAAACAGCAGCGATGGAGAATCCTGATTAGCTACAATCTTCCTCAGAGGAATACTAACAGCCAACTAACAGAGAACAATTTATTATGCTTTTTTGAATGCATAATCAATGCAAATATGCCTTGACTATGTATTTAGCAAGAAAGCAGAAAATGTTGTAAGCATATTCAATCTCCTGCTGTTAGTATTCTGCTATATGAATTATGTTGTGTTACATAAAGGATAGAAACTGGTAAAGGGCACCTTTAAGCATAGCTTACATTGTACAATCATGGATTGCAAAAGTTAATATGACCAGGTCATGGTTATACAGTATGAGAATACACAAGCCCCATATATCTTATCTGTTAGGTACAGTTAGTCCATGTTCTTTTTGTTTAATTAGCAGTTAGATTTAATCTATTTCTTTAAATTCAGTAATTCATTGTGTTCAGGTTCACTTGATTGTTTCAGCTTGGGCTTTTCACATTGTGCTTAACCCTGGGTTATCGTTGTTCAAAACCCCACTTTTAACCCCAAGTGAAACACTTGTAATTTAAAGGGGGAGGTTATGAGTGCTTTTTTGAATGCATAATCATTGCAAATATGCCTTGACTATGTATTTAGCAAGAAAGCAGAAAATGTTGTAAGCATATTCAGTCTCCTGCTGTTAGTATTCTGCTATATGAATTATGTTGTTACATAAAGGATAGAAACTGGTAAAGGGCACCTTTAAGCATAGCTTACATTGTACAATCATGGATTGCAAAAGTTAATATGACCAGGTCATGGTTATACAGTATGAGAATACACAAGCCCCATATATCTTATCTGTTAGGTACAGTTAGTCCATGTTCTTTTTGTTTAATTAGCAGTTAGATTTAATCTATTTCTTTAAATTCAGTAATTCATTGTGTTCAGGTTCACTTGATTGTTTCAGCTTGGGCTTTTCACATTGTGCTTAACCCTGGGTTATCGTTGTTCAAAACCCCACTTTTAACCCCAAGTGAAACACTTGTAATTTAAAGGGGGAGGTTATGAGACCCTGCTTTTGCGGTTAACCCCACATTTTCATGTGAAATGTGTCCAGTGTGAAACGAAACAGTGTTACTTGTAGTGTTGCTTTTCACACCTAGTTAACCCTTGGTCATTCTAAACCCATGGGTAAACAGAATGCTGGGTTAGCTTGCTTCACGATTCCCACTGCTCATAATTTACCTGGAGTTAACAATTAACCCTGGGTATTCATAAGCTGACATTTCACACTCTACATGGCTAGATGCTGGGTTAATTTTCTTATTTGCATATTTGCGGAGTCAGTGTCAGTGACTGTATGAACGCAGCATGCGACATGTTTTCATAACAGCTCTAGCTTTGCACATCCTCATATAGCCAACAGTACCATCAAGTTTTCCATAATAGAATTTTCGGACTATAAAGGTAAGAATGAAACGGTCTCTTCTTTACTCATTTTAACGTGTTTTCCGTCATCATTTAAAGGTGCTATATGTATTTTTTTAACTGTGCTAAAGCATAAAAATACCCTAATATGTTTGCAGATATTTTGGAAACATGCTAAGTTCACATACTTGTTTCTCCGAAAAACAGTGCTGCAGTTAGTTATTCTACTTTTGAAACGTGTGTTCCGTGTCAGAATGTCTGTTTTTGTTTTGGTCTGTGTGATTCCGCCCACTGCCAATTTACCCAATAGTAATTCGACACACCGGGTTGCCATGCTGTGGAAAACACCACATATTTGCAGCCATGGAAGCCAGCAAACGATCTGGGTCAGACATCGCAGATTCTGCCTGATCTAAAACAAATCTAAAAAGCTCTATGACTAGAGGCATATCAGAATGTGGATAAATCAATTCATCAATCTGGCAACCCATGTGAGTGTTAAGTGGAAGTGGAGAAGGGGGAAATGACTCTCTCTCCAATATTTTGAATTTGGACCACTAGCTGTCAATATTACATACTGCACCTTTACAATAACTTTTTTTTCCAATCAAATTCTGAAACGACTGTTTATACAATGGCTGCATTGTATAAACAGAAATCTTAGGCTGCTGACTTGTTGCCTTGCTGTCTTATCAGACAATGACTTTGCAGGCAGTGTTTGCGCACCAAGGCACCTCACGAAACTGATTTTGGACATGCTTCTGAGGCAGCGTAACGGTTTAATGATCTACAACAAAACAAAACGAATTAATATTTCATTACTATAGTTATGATTTCTCACTAGAAGTAACATCAAAAGTGGAGAAAAGTTACATTTACACACAAACTGACCACCAAATGCAGCTTTCAGACGCCATCTTTATTTTTTTTTAGCTCAACCATCACGGAATGGAACGCACAGGATTGTGGGATATCAAAGACAAGGGAAGGATACATCTGTGGTGCCTTCAAAAATCGATCAGGAGACAGGAAGTGAAGCTGATATTGGACTTGCCTTGATGCCTTCCTACCTTTGATTTTTCAGCTTTCAGACGCAGCCAACGCAGTGACTGTCCAAATCAATATGAGCCAAACCCCGGCAAAAAAAGGGTTAAAAGCGGTGTTTAGAACGACGATAACCCAGGGTTACGTATGAAAGGCCCTTTGTCAGGACTAGATGCTTTGCAACAGACACCCAATCACATTCCTAATATTTATCGTGCGTCGGACAGTCATAAACGCCGCATATTTGCGTTTGAGTGCAAAAATGTCAGATGATGATGGAAAACTAATTAGACTGGTGACGGTTTAATTCTTACCTTTATAGTCTGAAAAGTCCATTGTCGACACTGACATAGCAAATATGCAAATAGAAACATTAACCCGGAGGTTTAGGAATTTCCGTGAAATTCAGTGTGAAATGTCAGCGTCCTAATGAAAGCACTAATTAATTACATGACTGCTTTCGGATAAGGCGGCAAAAAAAATGTAAACAAGCAGTGTATATGCATCAGCAACAGAAAACTAGACATTTGCTGTTACATGTTGCAGGGAAATGGTGCAGAAGTCTGCTGTGGTGGGCCTCGCTTTGCTGCTGCTGGCTGCAGTCGGCACGTTTTTGGCCGTTTTCTTTTCGGTGCAGGGCAAGAAGGCCTCTCCTGAACCTGAACCTGAAAATGGTTACTTCAAGGCAGCGGTGGCAGCAGATGCTGGGACGTGCTCAGAGATTGGCAGGTTTGAGCTCTGTTCTCCTGAAATGCACATTCACTTTTTGCCATCTATGACATGTAGTTTCTGTGAAATTTAAATAAAATGAATTAATTACGTTCACATTACATCAGAATTTACATTATTGTAAACAAACAGAAAGAAGGCCATAGGAGGAGTTCACTGTAAAATGTTTTGTTTGGTAACATCAGAGACTGTTTAATAGCTGAATCATCCACATTTCATCATCCCATACCACACACCAAAGAAAGTTTTTAAGAATCGCATCATGCAGTAACTGGTTTTTAAGGTATCAACTGCAAATGTTACATTTTTGTAGTGCAGATAAACGCTTTTCTTGTATTGTTATTGGGTTATATATCAATAGAGCTCTGTGAAAAGCCATGTGAGATGAAATATTAGAATGTTTTGTCACGTTACTTAAAAATGTGCTGCAGGAAGTAAAATCCACTTTAATTGGTTTTATGTATCATCAATTATATCATCATCATTTTAAAGGTCACATCCGGTAGGAATAGATCCTTAAGACTCAACACCAGAGGTGAATAGGGTAAAAATGTTAACTAACAGATATCATCATACTTCCCCAGTAGATTTATCACAGTATACAGTACATTAAGACAACTGTTTTGTATTACATGTTTTCTGGAATGTTATGTAAATATGCAAATGATGCATTACCTAATTAAATATGCATTCATTTGCATACATTTCTAGAACAGAAATCTGAACACCTGATGAAGCCAGGTTCAAACTTCTTGTTTCATTTGGTTGACGTATTAGTTGAAGGTTTTTACAAAGGAGATTTGGATATCTCTTTTTATCACTCCATAAATCAGAAAAATATTGTCAAGAGCCAGGAATAAAGTAATGGAATGTTTTATAAATGAGGTGAATGATAAATGAGCAAATCCCTCAGTAAAAACATTAGGAATATAGATGGGAATAAAACTGTAAAGTCTGGTGTGTGTGTGTAAGTGTTGCTGAAGTGGTGATTTGTGCAACAGAAAAAAAAGAAACTTTAGATATGTACTGTAATTAAAATCTACCGATGCAAAAAGATCAATTGTAATAAAATGAACACTCATATTGCACATTTTTGTCAATGCATAATATAGTGTTTTTCATCAAAATCTTTTTTTAGTTGTTGCTGCTGCATTCTGATATTTAAAATGATCATATCAAGGTTAGCATGCCAAATGCCCTCTCTGTGTGTCCTCCAGGGATATCCTGAAGAGAGGCGGTTCCGCTGTAGATTCTGCCATTGCTGCTCTGCTGTGTGTGGGATTGATGAATGCCCACAGCATGGGCATCGGAGGAGGGCTCTTCTTCACTATTTATGATGCCAAAACAGGTATGCAGACTGCAGTCACTCACTATTACCTGTCTGATTCAACCTGACACACCAGTCTGCAGTGTCTGTGTGTATCTAAAGAATTTCTGCACATATAAGGATCTATTTTTATCATTTAATTTTTTTATATAATTTATATTTAATAATATTTGCAACTTTTGTATTAAAACTATTGCATTTTTATATATTTGCAACTTAAATTTTTTATGCACACTGCATGAATAAAATGTAAATTATGCACACACCGCATAAATAAATGTAATAATTTAGCTGAATATAAAATAATTTAATTTAAAAGTAAGTATATATACCAGTGCATAAAGAATTTATGCACATATTTTAAGGATCTATTTTTATACTTTATTTGTTTATTATTAATACTTTAATATTATTTATATTTATTAAAAATATATGTACTTATACAAATAGATGGGTATATATGCATTATTTGCAAAAAAATTTTTTTAAATATTTTTATGCACACTGCATAAATAAAATGTAAATAATTGTGAATAATATAAATGTGTCTGTGTATATGAAGAGTTTATACACATTTTAATAGTTGAATCTATTTTATATTATGTATTTATTTTGTATAATTATATAATAAAATATAAAATATATTTGTTCTTTAGTTGATTTTGATTGCTTCCGTTGTCCTCATTTGTAAGTCGCTTTGGATAAAAGCGTCTGCTAAATGTCTAAATGTAAATGTAATAAAAATCATAAATATTTAATATTTATATTTTTGGATTTCTTTATATTTATAGATTATTTACTTGACTTTGCAGGAAAAGTCGAAACCATCAATGCACGTGAGACGGCCCCTGCGAACGCAACCAGAGACATGTTTGGAAATAGTACAGACCTTTCCCAGAAAGGTATCTATTAACTACATTAAATTAACTGGGAAAATCATTAGTGAAACAGGATTTACACGATGGGTGGCCTCGTGATACAGTGCCAGCATGGAGAGATAAGCATAAAACAACTATCACCACAATTTCAACAATCAATATCTCACAGTACATCAGGCTCTACATATAGTTAATATAGGACTTTTCCAGGAAAACCGTAAAACTGCATCTCAGTTCATTGTACATATGGTCTCATGTCACAAAGTATGTAATGTTATCAACTGCCATATATATATATATATATATGTATTTTTTAACTGCTGCATTTTTATTTTTCTTAAGTTCAGTGTTTCAGATCTGTTGGTGGTTTTAGATAATAAAACACGGAATAAAGTGTTTCAAAAAATCATCCACAGGTGGTTTGTCCATCGCTGTTCCTGGAGAGATTCGTGGGTATGAAATGGCCCATAAACGGCATGGCAAGCTTCCATGGAAAGAGCTGTTTTTACCAAGCATACAACTGGCCAGAAACGGCTTTCCTGTTGGCAGAGCATTGGCAAGTGCCATTAACTCAAACAGAAACATCATTATGGGTGATAAGATGTTATGGTGAGCACACATGGATATTTTCAACCAAGATGTTAAGCATTAAAAATATATACTTTTAACAAGGTGCACAAAGTAATTTGTATTTGATATGACTGTGGGGTGATATTATAAAAACATTTCTATAATGTAATTTGTAATATGGTATATCCCCTTTTAGCCATGCACTGCGTTTATGCACTAACATTTTCGGTTCGGTTCCTTAGTTCTGTGTTCTGCGATTCCACCGGCAACATCCTACAGGAAAACGACACCATCACCTTCACAAAACTGGCTGACACTTATGAGTTCATTGCAGAGAATGGGCCTGATGCTTTCTACAGCGGACGGCTTGCTGAGAGCCTTGTGAGGGACATCCAAGCTGCAGGTTTTTTATTCACACATATGTCTATTCCATTATTTGGTATCAATAACTCATAATCTGGACTAAATCAAAAGTGTGGTTGGATGAAGTGATTTAGCCCAGGGGCTTTCAAACTGTACCCCAGAGGACCTTGTATGTGAACTATGTGAACAGCAATAAATAAAAAAAATATCTTTTTGTTTTTATGCACACACTACGGATATACAAACACACACTGTATATGCATTGTTTACATTTTAGTTCTTATGCACAATGCGCAGATAAAATGTCAATTTTTAAGACAATGTAATTTAATATATTTATATGGATTAAAGTTTGTTTCATCTGCATGGATAAAATTTTAATAATATATAAATATTATTTTATATATTTTTTTAAACACAAACTGCACAAAAAAAACAGTCTGTGTTAATTAAAAATATCATAATATTTAAATGTCTGAAATCCCCTGCGCTAACCCTAAAAAGTTTCTTGAGTCTTCTTCTTACTCAAAATCTTGATCCAGGAATGCATTCTGCTATAATAAATCACTATAAGCGTAGAGCCACATTTTTTATTTCCTGTCAGATGTACTTGACTGCCCATATTAGTGAGTTAAAGATGCTAAATTGTGCAGTTTCTAGACTTCTGTTGTGGCTGATGTGTTGTGGTTCATTGATTTCCAAATATTTTACATCCCACTAATTCCTGCAGTGCTGCCAATAGTCCACCCAGGCCGAGCTGTTGAAGGATAACACACAATTGGTTGTTAATGACTAAATCAATAACTCAGTAGGTTTGATCTCATTAAGTTGCTTCGCATCATGCGTCATACGTCCGTCTGTGTCGTGTGTGTTGCAGATGGGATTATAACTCTGGAGGACTTGAGAGATTACAAGCCCTTTCTGGATGATTCCCCCCTCACTGCCACTGTGGGTGAATACACAATGGTGACACCAAACGTGCCTGCCAGCGGCCCAGTCCTCACACTGATACTCAACATCCTGAGCGGTAGGTACAGAGTTCAAGCACTAGACAGTTTATCCAGGGCTGCGTTTCCCACTTGCATCGTAACCCTAAGTAGATCGTAGAACCATTGCCACCAATGGTCGCTATTCATGCCTGAAATTGCTTTTATATATAGGGGCATTTAACATATAGCCTGCAATTTAAATAATATAGGCTAAACTAAGGTGTTTTTCTAAATATTTTTTTAGAAAGAATATTCCTGCCCGCTAGAAAAAAAACACAGAACCAAAATGTTGAAATGGTTCCAACACGTCACGCAAACAGTCATTGGGATACTATTATAGTTTTTTTATTTCTATATTTTTAGTTACTTTTTGTAATTTAGTTGTATTTTTTTGTAATTTGTATTATTTTAAATGTCTGTATATTTTTTTATTATTTTTATTTCAGTTTTAGAAATGCCTTGTCAACTAGCTGAAAAAAATATTTTATGTTTTGAAAATTTTTTTTTTTTTTAATTTCAGTTACGTTTATTTTATTTCAAGTAGCAAAAATGTTTTCTTTATGGTTTTAGTTTTGCTAAACTACCCTGACCCAAACTCAATATCGATTTTAGCGATTTTAACAACCAGCCAGTAAATAAAAGTCTGTATAGTAGGTTCATTGTTCATTCGAGTTGTTGCCGAATCGTTGTTCTGATTTAGCACTGATTCACTCGCTAGCCAGTTCAAGATTGTTTCGTAAGACTTTTAAAAGAATCTATTCATAAGAGTCATTTGTTCGCAAATGAGACATAATGGCTCGTGCTGTGTTCATTGTTGCATACAAATTTTTCCTGACTGGATTTTACATTTTTGTTGCACATATGCTTATTATGTTGTGTAATGTTATGATATAATGTTTACTATTATATTTGTTTATATTTTTTAATGAGCAATGTATTAGTCAATTGACCTTCCTCTGAGTTGAAAACAAGTTTCCATTTAAACCAGTGTGGACCAGCATGACAATTTGGTGTTTTGAGCAGCGAGAGGAAGCATCTAGTGATTACTGATTACAGGATGACCGTTAGTCAATCTTTAATGTTCTTAACTGTTTCCTCATGTTGAATAGTGACTTCAGAACATCCCAACTTTTCTTTGCTACAAGCCATTAAAATCCCTCCACCCTTCGCTCCTGTCTCCCACACCAACACTAACGTGGGCTGTTTGCCACTAATTGGACACAAACCAAGCATGGAAAAATCCATGCAGTCAGCGTGTTCCGACCCTTTCCTTGGGGTTCCACCAGTAGGGGATACGAAGAAGCATCTGAGATTCATCTCAGCTCTGTGTCTTAGTGTTTTTCAGACACCCACTCTTTAGCTTTACTGATGAGATACTTAGTCATTAAGTTGCTGCCAGACAGGGCACGGCTGTCGATAAACACTGTTAGCACTTGTTTTTTCACAATATAGCTTGATATATTCAGTCGTTATGAAACATCTTCCCTGGCGAATCATTCATAATTGTTCAATTATTTCAAATAGACGGGTCTGGCATGAATGGTCGAGACAATTTGAGAAGTTTTCAGACACTAAAACTGGGTCAGTTGTCCAACAGTAAAATAATAGTTGACCTAAATGATGTCGCCATTTACTCGCTCTCGTGTCATTTCCTAACCCATATGGCTGACTTTAGTGGAACACAAATGAGATGTTTTGCAGAATGTTCTGTAGCATTTTCAGGGTTTAAGAACTGAAATTTTCCATAATAATCACATTTGTGCTTCTGCATATTCAGATTTGATTCGATGAAAGGGAAAAACGATTGCATTTGGCTTCACTGACGTCACAATAAATAACCACATATTGATTACCCTGCTAACAAAAATATGTTCTAAGAACGTTTTGCTAACATTCCCATTACGTTATCAAAATGTTATTTCTGAATGTTCTCAGAACGTTCATAATGTCCAGTTTTTGGAACTTTTTTTTTTTGGTTGTGCGAACATTAAGTGAACATTCCATTGTATCATTTTGCAAACATTATGGGAATGTTACTTTTGAATGTTCTCTGAACAAGTAATAAAAGGTAAAAATTACTAGACAAACGTTCAAGTAAAACATTTTGGAGTAAAAAAGCTTCTGAAGACCTTTCTATGGCAATCATCTTGATGATTGGCAGCTCTAGCCATTTTTATGACAACAGTTTGCATGGTTGAGTAATCACAGAATGTAGTGAATCTAACTGAGCTCTCATTCTCTTTCCTCAGGTTACAACTTCAGTTCAGACAGTGTCTCCACCACTGAAAATAAAACCCTCACCTATCATCGCATAGTAGAGGCGTTCCGGTTTGCGTATGCCAAGAGGAGCGTCTTGGGGGATCCAGAATTTCTCAACATCTCCAGTGTAAGTTGTAATGAAAGCGATACTTCATAAAAAAAAAAAAAAAAAAAATACTGTCATCATTTACTCATCCTCATCTCATTCCTAACCTGTATGATTTACGTTCTTCTTATAGATTGTTGCATTAAAGTAAAGTATTAACATAAAAAAAAAAAAAAGAAAAATTCTGTCATCATTTACTCATCCTCATCTCATTCCTAACCTGTATGATTTACGTTCTTCTGTAGAACACAAGGTAAGATATTTTGTATCATGCCTGTTTTGTCTTCCTTTTTTCCTGTATCATGTCATTTTTATTTTTGATATTTCTATGTAATTTATTTAATTTAAGTTTTAATAATTTTAGAACTTTAATTATTTTATTTTATTTATTTTATTTAATTATTTGTTGCCAATGCAACATTTCTTAAGTTTAAGGCAACATTTTTTTATTTTTAAACTTTCCTTTTAATATGTATATAAACTCATTAAAAATCAGCTGAAATAATGTGTGTATATATATACTATATTGTATATACTGTATATTATAGCAGCTGATTTTTAATGAGTTTATTTTTAGTTAACATTAACAACATCATTTTGGACTGGATTGATGTTATGTGGCCAAAAACAGCTGAAACATTCTTCAAAATATCTTCCTTTGTGTTCTGCAAAAGTCATGCAGGTTAGAAACGACATGAAGGTGAGAACAGAATTTAAATTTTTGGGTGAACTATTCCTTTAAAGGGGTCATAGGATGCTACATGCACTTTTACAAGTTGTTTGAACCATAGGCGTAGCTTGACGTTTGCGTTTGGGGGGGCCAAACCGAACCGGTGGATTTGGTCAGACGTACTTTTAAACACATTTTAGTTTTGCTATAGTAAATCTACATATTCACATTGAGCAGTGGCAAGTGCATGAGGTTGTCATGGTAACCACATACATTGCCTACGAATTACAGCTGCGTTTCTATTTTGCCACACTAAACTTAGCAATAAACCCGTTTAAAATGCACAATAAACATGTCTGTCAAAACGATCTCAAAGGAGGCTTTTATTAAGCAAATCAAGGAGTGAATTACTAAAACCGGCTGTGTCCTGTGGATCACCTTTATCTGATTGTCCGGGTCCGGAATCATTAAGCACGGCATTAATATCTTCATCTGAGTTTTTCGTTGTCTCCAGATTTCTCTGCAGTTCGTGTATGTTGTTAAAAACGCGGAACATCATTTTATTCCACACAACAGGCAAGCATTACCATTAAGTCTATTATCCACCAAAATGCAGATTCGTCACGTGACAATTCTTACGCAAATGAGATTGAGGGAGACGTTAAGTTTGTTTTGATTTATTAATTTACTTACAATAACAATTTAAAATGTATTAACTTTTACGTATTCACTTTTACATGTATTATTAACTGCATTATATGCATCTTTACTTCATAGAAAAAACTTTTTTAATAAATATTTAGTAAAATTCTTAAATAGCTATGGGGGAGCCAGGCCCCCCTGGCCCCCCCACAAGCTACGCCCATGGTTTGAACTGAAATGTGTGTTGGCAGTGTGTGTACACAACCACCCTATAATGATAAAAATCCACCCAGTGTTTTTTTTTATCTGGTTAAATGTTTTCCCCTTTCTCAAATCGAGCCGATCTCAGATGCCTGTTTGTGTGATGTCACAAAAACAGGCCCCTCCCACGATAGTTTGATTAGACTGGACTCACTGGTGTTTTACCTTAGACCCGCCCTGAGTGAGCTGTCATCAGTCCACCATTGTTTCACCGCCGGAGTTACTTAACCTCAACCAACATGCATTATCTTAATGTAAAAATGCTCCCATGTATCTTCAGCAGCTGTTCATATTGACACAGGCATATGTTCATCAGCTGTGATAAAAGTGGTTACTGAAACCGGCATGCTGTATCTCACACTAATCACAGAGCATGAAAGTAGTGCGCTATTGAACGGCTCATTGTGCGTCCGCCCTTTTGATCAGCTGTTCTTTCAAGCTGTAGATTATTGTGCCGCCGGCAGGGCTGCAATAATGATCTGCTTACCTCCTCCTCTATCTCGCTGGCAGTTCATCCAGAACATTACCTCGAAGGACTACGCTGACATGATACTTCAGAAGATCACAGATAATACGACTCAGCAAGAGAGCTACTATGAACCCGAGTTCTACCTTCCCGACGATCACGGCACATCACATGTGTCAGTGGTGGCAGAGGACGGCAGCGCGGTCGCCGCCACCAGCACCATCAACCTATAGTGAGCGTTTGCCATCTCAAACATCTGTCATTATTTAGTCAGAGAGTGTACACTTTTCAGGAAAATCAGCTTCTAATTGACTTATCTAATTGAAATAATAATATTTGTAAATGACATCATATTCTTTTTCTTCTCCCAGTTTTGGCTCCAAGTTTATGTCAAATTCAACAGGAATTATACTGAACAATGAGATGGATGACTTCAGTTCTCCCTTGATAACCAATAACTTTGGAGTTCCTCCTTCTCCCAACAACTTCATTGTCCCACGTGAGAAAATATGATAACAACCATTGGCAATAACATATTTTTGTAGTATGTATACTATAGGCCTAAGCCACATGAGGCCATACTTTACATTGAGTTTTATGCACAATGTTTTCTTAACATTATTACATATGGTAAAATTACTGTAACAACAATATGATAAAAACACAATATTAGTTAAGAGTAAAATTTGTTATGTATGTTATACTATTGAGACTTTGATCAGATATTCAAAATTATTACTCTAAATGGACTTCAAATGCTTATTTCTGAGATGAATGGCACACAATTATTATTACCATTACATTATGCTGTTCCAAATATTTTTTTTCAGATAATAAGCATTTTACATTGTATACTATGCAGTATGCAGGGACATAATTTCAATCACAGCCATGAACTTCAGTGTATCTTTGAAGATTTTGCTTTAATTGTTTGTTAACTCTGTTGCTTCTCATTTTTGCTCAGATAAAAGGCCCATGTCTTCTATGTGTCCCACCATCCTGCTAGACAAAAACAATAAGGTTAAAATGGTGGTTGGAGCCTCTGGTGGAACAAAGATCACCACAGCAGTTGCCGAGGTGCACTTCCATTTTATTTTAGTCTAGATAGTGGTGCTGGGCATATTTCAGACCTTATCAACTCATAAATAACTGACATTTTCTGCGCAGGTGATCTTAAATGCACTGTTCTTTAACTATGACCTGAAGAAAGCGATAGTAGACCCGAGAATTCACAATCAGCTCAGTCCAAACACTACACATGTAGAGCCTGACTTCGACAAGGTGGGTGAAGCAATGTATACAGGTGTCATTTTTAACAGTAATACTAGATATATGACTGAAATAATGTACAACATATACTGTACATCTCCTCTGTGCTGTACACTGTAAACAAAAGAAAAAGAAAGAAAGAAGCATGAAATTAATGGTAAAAAAAATGGCAGATGTGGTCTGAATGTAAATTTACAGTAAAAAAAACATTTCATTAACTGCTATGATGTTTATATATGAATCTACTGAAGTACTAAAATCTGTTTTGTACCTTTATAATACGCTGACAACCACCATAAAAACACAGGTGGTAATGAGAAATCCATGTGATTATTCAAAGTTCAATACAATTAGCTTTTCCACAAGCTGAGGTAAATATTAATATATAGAAGATCATTATATAAAGAAGAATATTAATATGTAGAAGACACAGTTATACACACAAATACAAAACACCATCTTGGAAACACACAACACTAAAATAATGCAATAAACATGCAAATCAATAAACTAAGAATAAACAATTAGTTCAATGAAAAAGCATCTAATGTGAGCTGTCACACAGGGACATTTTTACCAGTAAAATTATTTTATTTTTTTACTATGCATGTGAATGTTTTTTGAGTGTAACCACTTATCTGTGGCCATATTTGGTCCAAAAATGATTTTATTTGTTACCACAGGTTTTTTTTTTTTATGTTGGAGTGAAACTTTTTTTTTTTTAACCACATTTTTACTAGTAAAATTAAAAAAAATTTACAATGCAGGTGAGTGTTTTTGAGAGTAACCACTTATCTGTGGTCACATTTTGCCCTAAAATAATAATAATAATAATAATAATAATAATAATAAACTTTATTTTATATAGCGCCTTTAAAAGTAGCATCTCAAAGAGCTTTACATACATATAAAAATATGAAGTTAAAAGATACACACAACAGTACAGGCAGTAAAGAACTAACCAAACAATACAAAGCCAATATAATAAAAGACAAAGTAATCACATAAAAGCTACCCTAAAAAGGTAAGTTTTAAGGGACGATTTAAAAACACTAAGGGATTCTGCATTCCTAATCTCAGAGGGCAGGGAATTCCACAATTTAGGAGCCAAAGAAGAGAAAGCCCGATCACCGATAGTTTTTAGCCGAGTTGTTTGAACAGTTAAAAGACCAGCTTCAGAAGAGTGTAGAGCATGTGTAGGGGTGTAGGGGGTTAAAAGCTTACACAAATATTGAGGAGCCAAATTATTCAAGGCCTTATGAATGTAGCGAATCAGCTCATGGGGAAATATGAATAATTAATCATAACTAGTTATAATTTAAATGAGCATGAGAATTTTAAAATCAATACGAAAACTAACAGGAAGCCAGTGCAGTTTTTCCAAAATAGGTGTGATGTGCTCCCTTGCACTGGTTCTAGTCAGAATTCTAGCAGCTGAATTTTGTACCAACTGTAATTTATTTAGGGTAGCTTTTGAAACTCCAGCCAGCAAAGCATTACAATAATCAATACGGGAAAAAACAAAAGTGTTGATTAACTTTTCAGCCACAGAAAAAGTCAACATGGGATGTGTAACATTATGAAGCGACGAGAATACTTTTTGTACGCAGTTGCGCGGCTGACACAGAAGAGCGTACGCTGCTTGCGTTCAGCGGATATTCTCCAAAATGGCGCTATGGTGATGTGGAGAGACACAGAGGAGACGAATTGTTGAATAAAGTCATTATTTTTGTTTTCTTCGCGTACAAAAAGTATTCTCGCCGCTTCATAACGTTACGGTTGAACCACTGTCTGACTATTCTGACGATGCTTTTCATACTTTTCTGGACCTTGACATTGTAATTTACTAGGCAGTCAAACGGACAGTCACAAGCCTCCTGGTTTTCATCCAAAATATCTTAAATTGTGTTCCGAAGACGAACGAAGCTTTTACAGGCTTGGAACGGCATGGGGGTAAGTGATTAATTACAAAATTTTCATTTTGGGGTGGAGTATACCTTTAAGGTTACAGACTCTGCTTTGTGCAACTGATGAGGTGAACCAATAAGCATCACTTCAGTCTTGTCACTGTTTAGACAGAGACAATTTTCAGACATCCATTTTTTAATCTCAGTAAAACAATGAGAAAGAAAAGACACAGGCATATTGACATAAGGTTTTGAATGTATGTAGATCTGAGTGTCATGGGCATAAAAGTGAAAGTTAAGACCAAGTGTCCTTAAAAGTTGGCCAAATGGGAAAATGTAAATACTAAAAAGTAAAGGGCCCAAAACTGATCCCTGGGGAACACCAGAGTGCACCACACCGACCTCAGACCTGCAACCACCCATCACAACAAACTGCTTGCGATTAGAGAGGTAGGACTTAAACCACTTCATTGCAGAATCAGAAACAGTCTTTAAACGGGTGATTAAAATAGAGTGATCTATAGTGTCAAAAGTGGCACTAAGATCAAGAAGAATCAGAATAGATAGACGGCCAGAATCAGAAGCCATTAACAAGTCATTAGTGACCTTAACTAACGCTGTTTCAGTGCTGTGGAGTTTACGGAATCCAGATTGAAGTGGCTCAAAAAGGTCATTAGAGGAAAGATGAGAAAGCAATTGAGAAGCCACTGTTTGTTCAAAAATTTTGGCGAGGAATGAAAGATTAGAGATGGGACGAAAATTATTTAGATTTAATTTTTCAGATTTCAAATTATTTATTTAAATCATTAATTAAAATGAAATGATTGTAACCACAGATTCTTTTAATGTTGGAGTGAAACATCACCCGGATATTTTCTTTGGTTGTTCTGAATACACATGATTTTTGCTAAGCACAACCCACTCACTATCAACCCACAGGCCATTTTGGAGGGTCTTGCTACGAAGAACCATGTAATAGAGGTGTTGAAGTCCATGGGCGCAGTGGTTCAGGCCGTGGTGCGGTATAGTGCTGGCCTCAGCGCTGAGTCAGACCCCCGTAAGGGAGGATATGCAGCTGGGTACTGACATTTGACTCAGCGATCCATGTCTCCGGTCCAGCTGGAGGCAATGGAGATGCTACTTCGAGACCCCAAGGACAATTTCCCCTCATGCTGCTCTGAAGCAACCAAGTGCCTCCATCAGAGATACAGGTGAATCAGCTCTGGACAATCAAAAGCTCTGTTAATGTTAATCTCTGCACACACTGAGAAATAAAACGCATTCAAATACACTCACAATGGAAACGCACCATCTTTCTTCAGCTGCTTCTTCTGATGACTTGCATTCGTCAAAATCTCTATAGATCTAGTTACTGCGGAGTGGTATTTATTTCTGCTAATAAACATGTTGTGATGGCCATTATGAACTTTCTTGCGTGACTTCTGTCCGTATTAAGATTTACATCCTGGCATTAGAACATTTTTGCAAGACTTAGCAGCAGCGTCTCAGGGGACAAAGTTTTAATCAAGCTTCTAATAAGAGCTGAAGCGTGAACAAGAGTTGAAATGCTCGTTTTAATGTCCCACGAGTATGTGGTTCTACCCACAGGCACCGGCCCGACATCAAGCAGCATCATTAATGCTGAAGTTGTGGGGGACAGAGAAAAATCACATAAACAGTCCTTAATTAAACTTTCAAAATTGTACTGGGCTAGAAAGTAACTAATAAAATGTATGTACAGTTTATTAACTTAAAGGAAGAGTCCACCCAAAAATAACAGTTTTGTCATTCCAAACCTGTATGGATTTCTTTTTTCTGTGGAACACAAAAGAAGATATTTTGAAGAATGTTGGTAACTGAGCATTGACTTTCATAGTCATTTTTGTCCACACAATGGAAGTCAGTGGGACCCAAAACCATTTGTTTTCCAGCATTCTTCAAAAATATCTTGAAATGCATACAGGTTTGGCACAACATGAGGGTGACATAAATAATGACCAAATTTTTGGGTGGAGTATCCCTTCAATCTAACAAACTGTATATCATTTGTTGCCGGTGACTCAAGAGTTGCATTTTTATTCTAACATGTAAAATGTTCTATATGGCACATCAAATTTGCCAAGTCAAAATTTGCCAAAATTCCAAGTATACGGTGTACAAAACTATGTAATTATGAATTATTAGTTGTTATTATTAAAACTAAATTATTAAAATGAATTATTAAAGTTATTAACAATTTCTCTCATTTAAAATAGCTGTAAGTGTGTGTAAGTGGCTGAATTAGAATGGCCTCCAAATGCCAGATTTGTTATTTGAAGAACTATTAAATTAAAATATTCTGAATAGCAATGCTTTTTCTGACTGGTTTGTGAAAATGTAAAAAATGTGCAGCACAATAAGACTTTGGAGTGGCATAGTTCATTACTAAACATAATGCATTTAACATTAATTTATTTAACATGATTTTTTCCCCCTCACTTACATAAAATTTTTTATTGTAAGTGTAAATCATTCATGTTTTCTCCAGTGTATGTATGTATATACTGTATAAATGTATAAATAAATAAAAGTAATGTGTGCCAAACCAAAAACATGTAAGAATGAAATAAAATGTTATAAACATATTATACATGTGGACATTGTGGATTTTCTGGTAAAAATGCTTAAAATATAAACTGCTACAAAGGTGCAGAATAAGTGCCCTTGAAGTATTTCAGACGAGGCCAGACGCAAGATATTTCAGCCTCTGCGCTCCAGAAAGGAAAGCTGATTTGCACTTTAAACAGAAGTTCAAAGCTTGTTGTTAGCTGCTCATATCATAGCTGTTATTAAAGGTCACATTGTGAAGTCTGTTCAGATCATATTTTCATATAGCAAACTCTACGCAAGTACATGGACATGTTTTGAGTAAAGTCCCTGCCTCTTCATTTACCAATATTTTAGCATTGTCTTGTGCTTTTCGGGGGCGTTTGTTCCTGTCGGGTGGCTTTGAGAGCTGTTGGGTTCATGCTGCTAGGAAAAGGTCAGGTTCTTTCACTGTTCCCGGCCCTCCCATAGGGGCTGACAATAAAGCCCTGTCACGTGGCACTCGTCGCTACAACGGCACCACCATTTAGCCCAGAGCACAGCCCAGACTTTTAGTCTCATTTTTGAGGTGGAACACAGTTTGAGACTAGACCCAGAAAACAGGTTCAGACATTGGTTTGCTAATGATTTTATGGCGGTTGAAGAAAGCTGGTATCTGCTGCATTCACATCCAGTCAACAAACTGCAAGGCTATGGCAAATAATATTGAGTTTAAAGGTTCACCTCAGCCTGAATGCAAATTTAGACAAGATTTTGCAGGCAAAAAAGGTCCATTGTCTATTATCAACAATGTAATGATGTATGGTGCTCACGGTTCACACAGAAGTCTCTTTCAAACCAAGCAGCTTTCTGAACCTGTTACAAAATCAATGTGGGGAAATTTGTTTTCACTTTTGTGTGAAAGTCCATATTGTGCTAATTCAAATTACATTAACCACACTACAGATTTACATGTACATTTAGTCATTTAGCAGACGCTTTTATCCAAAGCGACTTACAAATGAGGACAATGTAAGCAATCAAAATCAACAAAAGAGCAATGATATGCAAGTGCTAAGTCTCAGTTAGCTTAACGCAGTACACGTAGCAAGGTTTTTTTTATTATTAAATAATAAATAAAATGAAAACGGATAGAATAGAAAAAGAATAGAGCAAGCAAATGTTAGAGGCCCCTTTTTTTTGCTTTTTGTTAATTGTATATTAAATAAAGAGAAAACAAATAGATAGAATACAAAAAGATTAGAGAAGCTATTGTTAGTTTTTTTTAAAGAAAACAAGCAGTTAGTAAATGAATAGAGTGCAAGTCTAAAAGGGACAATTTTTTTAAAGAATAGAATTAGAATAGAGAATGCTAGAGTTAGAGGGTCAAATAAAGATATTTATACATATTTTCATAACGCACTTTCTAACTTTAAAAACTGTTTTATGCAATTTTCGGTATGTTGTTAAGCAATAAAATAATTTATCACAGCCTCTTTTACAAAATTCCTGTCAAAAATTAAATACAGTGCTAGGCTACCTGACTGGGCTATTACTGTATGGCTAGACTGGCTGGATTAATAAAAATGTATTCAAGTGACACCATATGAAAATTTGGACGTTTGCATAAATGTGCTTGTGTATTGTTGATTACTGATCTTGTTGACCGCGTACAAAAAATGATCGACGTACAATTTATAGACACGCCCCCAAAGCGGCAACATCGTCAGTCGAGCGTTTTGAGCAGGTGTATTTCGCGCCAGTGTGAACACGTCAGTGTTGCCAAGTCCGCGGTTTTCCCGCGGAATTACGCTACTTTAACACTGTTGCCGCGGGTTGTTTTTCATGTCCGCGGGTTGAAGTGACTCCATTAACATTATATTTATCGCCTGCAATGTGAATTTTAGCAGGGGAATCTCGCCAAAAAACGTGTATTTCCCCCCTGGAAGGGGATTTTTAACTGGGGACCCCCTCGAAATGCTATTGGGCTAGTTTTGAGTAGCAGTGTTGGGAAGGTTACTTTGGAAATGTAATAGGTTACAGATTACAAGTTACCCTACTTAAAATGTAATAAGTAGTTGAGTAGCTATTGGGCGGTTTTCTTGTGAAAACCTGGCAACCCTGGAACACGTGCCATTGGGTCACAGAGGATGGAAAACACTCACGAAAAACTAAAATATGACTGTTTTGTGCAAGAAACAACAGAAAGTGAGGTAAGATTTATGATCTGTGATTAACCCGTGTATAAAAAACAAAACGAGAAACGAATTCATCCCTTTGTGTGCCTCCTGCCATGTAGAGGGAGTTATAATAATGCATATCTCTTCCCTCCAAGGGAAAGCGTTTGCGTTTGCGTTCAGCTCACTGTGAACACACGTAAAACTGAATTTAATCACATTATGTTTTGTACACTATAACTTCTCCTGTCTTCATGATTTATGCACGGTCTCATTTAAGCTTGTACCTGGACGACTGACAGCGAGGGCTAATGCTGAAACTGAACCATTTTCTTAAATAATAAAAGTAAAAAAAAAAAGACTCATTAAAAGACATTAGAAAGTATTTATTGTGATGTATGAAAAAAAAGATTCGAAATGCACTTAAAGGCACAATATGTAAGATTTTTTTTTAAATATCCCAAAACCACTATAACAGTTATATATTTTGCTGACTTGTGTACTTACATTATCCCAAATGTTTGGAAGAATGTTTAAATCCAGAGAAATAAGCAATTTTAACTAGTGACACGGAGCGTGTCCATAGTGTCATTGTGTCGCCTGCCAATGACGTCATACCCCCTCGATTTCCGGTTTTGTTTTGTAGAAAACATGGAAACACCAAAGACGCTTTAATATGTTGTGCGTTTTATTAGACCGGTGACGACCGCACAGAGTAGCATAATAACAGAACTTTCAAATTTATCTAGTATGATAAAACAGCGCTGCTTTTTTTCCCCACATACGCACGACCGGAAGGAGCGGAAGCGGTCGACTGTGGCATAATAAATAAATAAAGTGTGTCACGCTCGTTCAGCAGCCTCGTTTCGCTTCGACGGCTTTCAGCCTCACCCTGCTTCATTCCACGATTCCGTTAATATGTCATATTCTGTAGTCCTCTGGTGCATCATGGGACAGGTTATGCTGAATATCCGTCAACTTCAATGTCTGAACAGCTCCAATAAACAATATAAAAATAGTAGAAAAGTATAAAATATTTATGATTGAAGTTCAATCAACATATAATGCTGTTTATAAAAATATCATTATGGAAAATATAAAAAGTGTATATGAAACCTAGAACATATTCACAAGTAATAAAACAATAATTGCTAAAATAATTTCATAATTGCAGTATCTCATTCAGTTTGGTGACATTCACATTTCGATTTTCTTATAACACAGTTTTTCCCAACATTTACAGTAACACCTTTAAAATGGAATAGGTTCAGTAAGATGCATTTAGAAACATTGACCTCAAGTTAATCGCTGTTAGCTCTCATAAAAAAGTGTTGGATGATGTTAAGTGCTTCTTTGTACATAATCCGAAAATGACTATGATGACATGTTTTTGTACATAGTACAAAAGCTACAAAAAAAGTTACTTGACATTTCCATAATTACTGGCCAGGACAAAAAATACAGCTTCTTAAAAAAAACAACAACAACAAATAGACTGCTGCTGGGATGGAGTATTTTTGTAGACTAGAACCTGGAAACGATTTAGCATTTTCATTGTCCTTAAGTCAGTGTTCTTTTTAAAGGGTTTCTGGTTAAATGCCAGAAATAAGGTCTGTGGTGAACACAAACTCAAGATATTTTCATGTTTTATTCGACGACATAAAATAGGCTACATCGCTTAATACAAAAAGTGGCTATATGGGACTACAGACATTGTCGGGGACATTAAACGTTATTACATGAAACAGGAAATCTCATCTACTTGCTAGTCCACTTTTGAAGCCTTGTTGTGTTTCTAATCATGCTCTTGCAAAATATTCTAACGCAAACTTTCAGGAATTTTTTTTTTTTTTCCAGAGTTGTCTGAAGCTTAATGACGGTGGCGTTGAAGTAATTTGACCTTGGTGTAGTTAATTTATAGCCTACGTTTAACTATAATAAAGCGCTTTTGCATTTCGCTTTTTTCCTAGAACTATTGGCGGAAGTTCCCGCTTTTTGGCATGTTTGCACTGCAGGAACTAGGAACGGTTTTAGTTCTAGGAACTCCGTTTGGGGAAATTAATT